TGACACACTCAAGCAACACCAGAGGCTACTTGACACACACTTAGAGGCTACTTGACACACACTCAAGCAACACTAGAGGCTACTTGACACACACTCAAGCAACACTAGAGGCTACTTGACACACACTCAAGCAACACTAGAGGCTACTTGACACACACTCAAGCAACACTAGAGGCTACTTGACACACACTCAAGCAACACTAGAGGCTACTTGACACACACTCAAGCAACACTAGAGGCTACTTGACACACACTCAAGCAACACTAGAGGCTACTTGACACACACTCAAGCAACACTAGAGGCTACTTGACACACACTCAAGCAACACTAGAGGCTACTTGACACACACTCAAGCAACACTAGAGGCTACTTGACACACACTCAAGCAACACTAGAGGCTACTTGACACACACTCAAGCAACACTAGAGACTACTTGACACACACTCAAGCAACACTAGAGGCTACTTGACACACACTCAAGCAACACCAGAGACTACTAGACACACACTCAAGCAACACCAGAGACTACTTGACACACGTCCTATGGTCTGGAGTTGACTGTCAAGTAACATTAGAGTTTCTAACTCCATACCGTAAAGTACTAACCATTGGCGGTCAAGATAAAGCTATGCCAGAGACGACTTGACCTTGGCACATGTGTGAATACTAATTGCCGTTCTCGGGGACAGGAAGCCTGTGCTTGTCTTATCGAGGACTCCCCCCCCCCCCCATATCAACCACTGACAATCAACAACATTCAACCCCCACAACAGTTAGTAAATTCCCGGGGGTATATTTTACTGCTAGGTGAACAGAGGCATCAGGTGTGTTCATCTCTCTGTTTTTTTTAGCAGTTTAGCAAACAGTTTTTGTATACATACAAAACTGTATACAAAACTGTATGTATACAAAACTTTATGTATACAAAACTGTTTGTTTGTATACAAAACCTTGCATGTATACAAAACATAGCTTCGACGTTTGGAATGAGCCGTGTATTTATTATTTGTATTTACTCTTTATACCTGTCTAATAAGAGCTATTAGCTCTTGGACCCCGCCTTTCTAACGTGTATATTTTTTACTCTATAATGTCAAACTCATGTATTTCTTTCAACCCACGCACACTCACACATCCCCAGGAAGCAGCTGTCTAACTCCCAGATACCTATTTACTCCTAGGTGAACAGGTACATCAGGTGAAAGAAACTCTACCCATTTGTTTCTGCCTCGGCCGGGAATTGAACCCGGGCCCTTAGGACTACGACCCCCAAGCGCTGCCCACTCAGCCGCGAGGCCTCAAGTGTGTGTAATCATCTAGTTGTACTTGCCTAGTTGTCTCTAAACGGTTGAGCTCTGGCTCTTTGGTCCCGCCTCTCAACTGTCAATCAACTGATGTACAGATTCCTGAGCCTACTGGGCTCTATCATATCTATATTTGAAACTGTGTATGGAGTCAGCCTCCACCACATTACTGCCTAATGCATTCCATCTGTTAACTACTCTAATACTGAAATGTTCTTTCTAATGTCTCTGTGGCTCATTAGAGAACTTAAGTTTCCAACTGAGACCCCTTGTTCGATTACCACCTGTTAAATAATGTCCTTGTCTACCCTGTCAGTTTCCCTAAAAATGTTGTATGTGGTGATCATGTCTCCCCTTACTCTTCTGTGTTCCAGCGACGTGAGGTGCAGTTCATGCAGCCTTTCCTCGTAACTCATGCCTCTTAGTTCTGGGACTAGCCTAGTGGCATACCTCTGAGTTTCTTCAGCTTCGTCTTGTGCTTGACAAGGTACGGGCTCCATGCTGGGGCCGCATACTCCAGGATTGGTCTTATATATGTGGTATATAAGGTTCTGAAGGTTTCCAGGGCATCAGTTCCAAATATGCCAAAAATATGCAATAAATGAAAACTAGTTAGATTTCAATCAAACATTTTGACGAGTTGTATATGAAAAGGGATTCATCTGGTTCGCGTCTCAGCATCGTAGCATAAATAGGAAGGGAGAAAAAAATATTGAATTGTGTCAAAAATTTTCCAAAAAGGAGAAAAATTAACATGAAACACAAGTGTCAACTGAAATCATGTCTATGACTCTAAGCTATCACAATAACATGTAATAGAACAAATGAATTAGTTTAAAAAAAAAAAATTAGTTAACTTTTTTTCTTATTTGTTTATCGGACGATTTGCATGAAACTTATACACCTGACTGCACGTAAGCCTATCTGTAAGGGTGCCAATTTTGGAGGAAATTGGTTGATGTCAACCTCAGCCACAGATGGCAGCACCTTAGACTTTTTTTATATTATTTGTCAATATAAACGTAATCTATACTCTTTCATTTTTATTCAATTTACATGAAACTTGCACTTAATATGTAGAGTTTGTGTCTCTATAATCTGTAACAAGTATTTTTTCCTAAGTTTATTTATTGATTTTATAATAGTAATAAACATGACATATTGACCAGATCACACACTAGAAGGTGAAGGGACGACGACGTTTCGGTCCGTCCTGGAACCATTCTCAAGTCGATTGTGATGAGGAAGTATGTTGTTGTTGTTGTTGTTACAGATTTAGCCACTCAGAACGAAGTGTCCATGTAGCACGGGCTATGGTGAGCCCGTGCTTTCGGTCCAGGACGGACCGAAACGTCGTCGTCCCTTCACCTTCTAGTGTGTGGTCTGGTCAACATACTTTAGCCACGTTATTGTGACTCATCGCCTGCATATATTTGTATAATTTTTTGGGGGGAACTTTGACTATTTGTATTAGTAAAACTAAACATATTTTGGAAAATCCGTTGTTACCGATCCTTTATTATATGCTAATGCGATAGAAGAGTGTCATAGAAATGATTTAATTTGAAACCTGTGGTTGTAGAGGCTTACTGAAAATGTGTAACATTCGTTGAAAAAAAAAATCGCTTTCAATTTAGGCTGCGATACTGAAACTTGGAACAGTTGCCGCCCTTTTCATATGCAACTAGTCCAAAAAGATTGGTTGACATTGAACAACTTTTAAGAAACTAACTGATGCATCCTTAAACAGGTTTCTTAAGGCAGTTCTGATGTTAGCCAGCCTCGCAGATGCCGCTGGTGATATTCTTTTTATATATGCTTCAGGAGACAGGTTTGGTGTGATATCAACTCCTAGATCTTTCTGTCCGCTTCATGAAGGACTTCATCTCTCATTCGGTATCCTGTGTCTGGCCGCCTGTTCCCTCCACCTAGTTTCATTACACTTACATGGGTTGAACTTTAGTTGCCATTTATTGGACCATTCCTTCAGTTTGTTTATTTCATATTGAGTGTGTGTGTTTACTGTTTAACAAAGATAAGATCAGAGGATGATGTTTATACAGCCTCATGCGTGAAGCCTTAGGAATAACAGATCATATTGGTGGACTGTTGATTCCCAGAGTCCATGAGTCATGCACCAGTCCCTCCACACCGGTCTGTACTCACTCGTCTGTCTGTACTCTCTCACGTTTGTCATGTGTGTGGCAGCAACACCTCCATGTTTGTCATGCGTGACAGCAACACCTCCATGTTTGTCATGTGTGTGGCAGCAACACCTCCATGTTTGTCATGCGTGACAGCAACACCTCCATGTTTCACTTGTACCAGCAAAAAGGTATTTCATAGGTGGTTTAATTACTCGTGTTACAGGTAGCGAGCCACAAGCACGCATGTATGGACGACGCATGCCTCAGGGCATGTATACACGCACATAGAAGATACATGGCTCAGGGCATGTATGCACACAAACATATTCGTGTTGTACTTACCTTTCAATGTACCTCACCTGAGAGGTATAGTGCCACACAAACAGCGTTCGAGGCTCGCCAAACCACCTAAGCTATCGAAGCCGATGATGGTTAGTGCCGGCATGGGCCACTTTAGGGCCCGACTTTAATTTGAGAATATTAAAGCACTAACTTTGACGCTGTAGACGACAACGTCAACATTAAATGTGAGGACAGATATACCAAGACGATTATGGGAGAAAACGGAGTACATAGGCCATTGTTATCCTCAACACTCATGCCTTCACGTCATCACGCATTATATTTATAGTACGCGTTCATTTATATTAATATGTTATGTGACTGAGAGTAAAAGTTGAAGTGGTGGTAGGTGTAGAAGCAGTACAAGTGGCCATTATCAGGGTGGGTGAGGCGCGAGCGGCCCCACATAACGGATACATCCGCCCACATCATTACCACAAAGAAATATGAACAATTACAATACTAATGAGGGAGAGTATTCCACGGCTGTATAGTGTGGAGTGTATCAGAGATATAATTAACATTAGTATTGGTGTGTGACCAGAGTCTGCAACACTTCACTGATGTGTTGTTGAACACATCTTTAACACTGTGTGTGTGTACCACACATCAGAAACACTACCTCTTGGCTAGCCCTATATACTATCACATACTGTTGAGTGCTCAATAACCCACTACATTATGTGATGCATAACATATGTGTATATGTATGTAGAAAATGTATACCTGTTGGTTTGTATTGTATAAATGTATGGCCACGTCTGTTTTAGAAAATCAGCTTAAAAAAAATTGCCTGTTGGTTGATGCGGTATAATTAGATTTTTCATTATTGTTATTTGTTGATTTTCCAGTTTAACACGAAATTAAATACAAAATTATAGCACCAGTCAATATATATACAAAACTAAATATATATATGTGTATAATAAGTTTTATATTTGATGATAAATGTTTATCTTTATATTTATATATTCACGAAATCCATAAATGTCAGTGTTTTCAATGCATACACGTTTCAGTCTTTCAATTTCGTAATATTTATAAATATGGTAGCTGCCCATGTCATGTATTTTCATATCAATGAAAAAATATATTCCATGTGGGCTGACGGAGTCCGCTTGGTGTATACTAGCTACAGTCTGTAGACTGCTGTACACACACAACCAGCAGCCAGCGACCACTAGGGAACACACCGGGACACCAACCAGCAGCCAGCGACCACCGAGCGAGCGACACACCGCGCACCACCAGCACCAGGCCCCAACTCATGGCTCAAACCGCGCCACCAACGCCCACTCGGCCCTTCCCTTCTCTCTCAGCCAGCCAGCCAGCCAGCCAGCCAGCCATATGGTTAGTCATCCAGCTATATGTTTGCTTGCGAGCTCCACAATGCTTCCTAATTTCCGTTATTCATTTGGGCAGCTTTTTTATCATTCTTTCGGAATATCAAGCAAATATTTTATTGTTTTTCTAAGGTGGCAGTCCAGTATTGCCACGCTAGTATAACATGTGCACATCTTATATTTAATGACAGCTACTGAATCTGTTACAGTTCTTATGTAAATAATTTCTGGGCTCCATCAAGGAGCCCTGGGACAAACAGGGCTCTATCAGGGAACATATAATCGCCACACACACAGAGACGACCACCAGGGATAGTTTGACGAGCAACATCGAAATAATTGATAGATATAATGACAATAGAAGATTAGACATCAGTGAAGCAATCTAGACCAGCAATCAATAACCAGGTAAAACACAATTTTAGTCTACCCACTTCAAGATCCAGGGAGAACGCGGAAGCTGGACCGAATGACCCTGCGACAGGAATGGAAGCAACCAGAACAACATAGGCTGCCAACATATCACACTCTATGTTGATACATTTAATACCTTATTAATATCCCGCTTGTAATGCCATTCAACCGTGTTACCTAACCACCTCACCATAAGAGGATATAACCAGCTGCTGGTTAGGTTAGGTTTTGAGAATGTGAGGTCGAGACCTTACGAAACCCATCACTAGGCGTCTTCTTGAGGTTATCTTGAGATGATTTCGGGGATTTTTAGTGTCCCCGCGGCCCGGTCCTCGACCAGGCCTCCACCCCCAGGAAGCAGCCCGTGACAGCTGACTAACACCCAGGTACCTATTTTACTGCTAGGTAACAGGGGCATAGGATGAAAGAAACTTTGCCCATTGTTTCTCGCCGGCGCCTGGGATCGAACCCGAGACCACAGGATCACAAGTCCAGCGTGCTGTCCGCTCGGCCGACCGGCTCCCTAAACCCAATTAAATTACAAATGAACTTTGGAGAGTTAATTTTTCGACTTCCTGCTTCAGTGAAGAAAACATAAGTAATTTTGAGAAGATTGGTGCCAGAATCATACATCTAAAACTTTCTGTGTGTATATATATATATATATATATATATATATATAACATATTTTATTAAATATGACCGAAAAAGTAAGATTAATAATTCTAACACGAATTTTCTCAATCTTTCGTACATTATGCTTCACTGTTGGAGGTAAATCAAAAATCACTTCTCCAAAATTCATTTTTATTTCTAGTCTGACGCGACACGGGCGCGTTTCGTAAAACTTATTACATTTTCAAAGACTTCACAAATACACAACTGATTAGAACTTGCGTTTCCCTGATTTTATATCTACATTTGAGTGAGGTGGGAAGGGTGATGTGGCATTACATTTGAGTGAGGTGGGAAGGATGATGTGGCATTAGAGGATATTAATAGGGTATTAAAAGTATCAACACAAGACAGAACACGAAACAATGGATATTGGATAGAAGTGTTTGTAGAAAGCCTATTGGTCCATATTTCTTGATGCTTCTATATTGGAGCGGAGTCTTGAGGTGGGTAGAATATAGTTGTGCAATAATTGGCTGTTGATTGCTGGTGTTGACTTCTTGATGTGTAGTGCCTCGCAAACGTCAAGCCGCCTGCTATCGCTGTATCTATCGATGATTTCTGTGTTGTTTACTAGGATTTCTCTGGCGATGGTTTGGTTATGGGAAGAGATTATATGTTCCTTAATGGAGCCCTGTTGTTTATGCATCGTTAAACGCCTAGAAAGAGATGTTGTTGTCTTGCCTATATACTGGGTTTTTTGGAGCTTACAGTCCCCAAGTGGGCATTTGAAGGCATAGACGACGTTAGTCTCTTTTAAAGCGTTCTGTTTCGTGTCTGGAGAGTTTCTCATGAGTAGGCTGGCCGTTTTTCTGGTTTTATAGTAAATCGTCAGTTGTATCCTCTGATTTTTGTCTGTAGGGATAACGTTTCTATTAACAATATCTTTCAGGACCCTTTCCTCTGTTTTATGAGCTGTGGAAAAGAAGTTCCTGTAAAATAGTCTAATAGGGGGTATAGGTGTTGTGTTAGTTGTCTCTTCGGAGGTTGCATGGCTTTTCACTTTCCTTCTTATGATGTCTTCGATGAAACCATTGGAGAAGCCGTTATTGACTAGAACCTGCCTTACCCTACAGAGTTCTTCGTCGACTTGCTTCCATTCTGAGCTGTGGCTGAGAGCACGGTCGACGTATGCGTTAACAACACTCCTCTTGTACCTGTCAGGGCAGTCGCTGTTGGCATTTAGGCACATTCCTATGTTTGTTTCCTTTGTGTAGACTGCAGTGTGGAAACCTCCGCCCTTTTCCATGACTGTTACATCTAGAAAAGGCAGCTTCCCATCCTTTTCCGTCTCGTAAGTGAAACGCAGCACGGAACTCTGCTCAAATGCCTCCTTCAGCTCCTGCAGATGTCTGACATCAGGTACCTGTGTAAAAATGTCGTCAACATACCTGCAGTATATGGCCGGTTTCAAGTTCATGTCGACTAAGACTTTTTGCTCGATGGTACCCATGTAGAAGTTTGCAAACAGGACACCTAGGGGAGAACCCATAGCGACCCCATCTACTTGCTTATACATATGCCCATCCGGGCTCAAGAAGGGTGCCTCTTTAGTACAAGCTTGGAGTAGTTTCCTCAGAATACTTTCTGGCATGTCAAGAGGAGTACAGGCTGGATCACGATACACTCTGTCGGCTATCATTCCGATTGTCTCGTCCACAGGTACGTTGGTAAACAGCGATTTCGCTGTTTACCAACGTACCTGTGGACGAGACAATCGGAATGATAGCCGACAGAGTGTATCGTGATCCAGCCTGTACTCCTCTTGACATGCCAGAAAGTATTCTGAGGAAACTACTCCAAGCTTGTACTAAAGAGGCACCCTTCTTGAGCCCGGATGGGCATATGTATAAGCAAGTAGATGGGGTCGCTATGGGTTCTCCCCTAGGTGTCCTGTTTGCAAACTTCTACATGGGTACCATCGAGCAAAAAGTCTTAGTCGACATGAACTTGAAACCGGCCATATACTGCAGGTATGTTGACGACATTTTTACACAGGTACCTGATGTCAGACATCTGCAGGAGCTGAAGGAGGCATTTGAGCAGAGTTCCGTGCTGCGTTTCACTTACGAGACGGAAAAGGATGGGAAGCTGCCTTTTCTAGATGTAACAGTCATGGAAAAGGGCGGAGGTTTCCACACTGCAGTCTACACAAAGGAAACAAACATAGGAATGTGCCTAAATGCCAACAGCGACTGCCCTGACAGGTACAAGAGGAGTGTTGTTAACGCACACGTCGACCGTGCTCTCAGCCACAGCTCAGAATGGAAGCAAGTCGACGAAGAACTCTGTAGGGTAAGGCAGGTTCTAGTCAATAACGGCTTCTCCAATGGTTTCATCGAAGACATCATAAGAAGGAAAGTGAAAAGCCATGCAACCTCCGAAGAGACAACTAACACAACACCTATACCCCCTATTAGACTATTTTACAGGAACTTCTTTTCCACAGCTCATAAAACAGAGGAAAGGGTCCTGAAAGATATTGTTAATAGAAACGTTATCCCTACAGACAAAAATCAGAGGATACAACTGACGATTTACTATAAAACCAGAAAAACGGCCAGCCTACTCATGAGAAACTCTCCAGACACGAAACAGAACGCTTTAAAAGAGACTAACGTCGTCTATGCCTTCAAATGCCCACTTGGGGACTGTAAGCTCCAAAAAACCCAGTATATAGGCAAGACAACAACATCTCTTTCTAGGCGTTTAACGATGCATAAACAACAGGGCTCCATTAAGGAACATATAATCTCTTCCCATAACCAAACCATCGCCAGAGAAATCCTAGTAAACAACACAGAAATCATCGATAGATACAGCGATAGCAGGCAGCTTGACGTTTGCGAGGCACTACACATCAAGAAGTCAACACCAGCAATCAACAGCCAATTATTGCACAACTATATTCTACCCACCTCAAGACTCCGCTCCAATATAGAAGCATCAAGAAATATGGACCAATAGGCTTTCTACAAACACTTCTATCCAATATCCATTGTTTCGTGTTCTGTCTTGTGTTGATACTTTTAATACCCTATTAATATCCTCTAATGCCACATCATCCTTCCCACCTCACTCAAATGTAATGCCACATCACCCTTCCCACCTCACTCAAATGTAGATATAAAATCAGGGAAACGCAAGTTCTAATCAGTTGTGTATTTGTGAAGTCTTTGAAAATGTAATAAGTTTTACGAAACGCGCCCGTGTCGCGTCAGACTAGAAATAAAAATGAATTTTGGAGAAGTGATTTTTGATTTACCTCCAACAGTGAAGCATAATGTACGAAAGATTGAGAAAATTCGTGTTAGAATTATTAATCTTACTTTTTCGGTCATATTTAATAAAATATATATATATATATATATATATATATATATATATATATATATATATATATATATATATATATATATATATATATATATACACACACTCCACGTGCATATATGCGCCTCAACTTAGATATTTGGCAGAGAGCGGTGGCCAGGTAGAGGCTGCTAATTCCGGTGGAAACATTAGTGTATTTTGGTATAGGCACCTTCCTATCTTAAAGCACACACCCACGCATGCACACACACACACGTGCTGCGTTCCCAACTTGCAGTCCACGGGCCCGAGTTCGATTGCCGGCCGAGTCAGAAATAAATGAACAGTTTCACTTGATTTCTCTGTTGGCCTTGCAGAAGAAAATAGGACCTGGGAGTTAGCCTCTTTCTGGGCTGCAACCTTTGAATGTGTGTGTGTGTGTGTGTGTGTGTGTGTGTGTGTGTGTGTGTGTGTGTGTGTGTGTGTGTGTGTGTGTGTGTGCGCGCGCGTGCGTGTGCGTGCGTGCGTGTGTGTGTGTGTGTGTGTGTGTGTG